AATAACCCCAATCGAACCGCTAGGAACGTCCGGAACACCCGTGAAACCCGACTAACCTGGGGAGCGTCTTTTCCTGATTCACCTCGGCCAACCCATCGACTAGTCCGTTCACCCTTCCAACCCCCACTTCAATCTACGCTCCGCGCGCGACAACGTTCCTGATCACGATGTCCTGGGCTTCACGAGCACGCGTGTTGCTGCGTTGTCCGGTGATGTTCGCTAGCTTGAACTTGTTGAGACATCCCTTCAGGCGCAGCTGGTCGCGTAAGCCGCTAAGCTCATCCGCCATTTCCGCCCATCTAACCTTGACCTCCATCGTGCGCGTTGTGGGTGATACCAGACTTTCGTCTTGTCCAGGAGGGTTCGACGGCAAGTATAACGGGACGGTCAGGGCTGTATCACGGGCGGGATAACGCTCATCCCAGGTGAGGGCAGCGTAGACGTCCTCCATATAGTGTTCTTGCCCCTTCCGAAAAGCACGTATGGACGCGAGTATCCTGTTCAGCGCATTGCTTCTGTCAGAAGCCTGCTTGGTAGTCCCACCAGTTGTCTTATGTTTAAGGGGAAAAGACGCCCTGCAAAGATCGATGAGCGCGAGCAACAGACCTTCGAATGAACATCACACCTGTCTTCCTCTATCTTGAACCCGAGAAGCATAAAGTCGGTCAAAGTAGCCGCCTTCTCGACATCTGGCATAGCATCAACAGCAGCAGGAGACAATCCCTGCGCTTGATCCGCTTGCCGCTTGATCTGAGCTACCGAGAGTTCTTATCGTTCGCAGTCGTCAGCATTTGAGAAAGTCCAAGAAGACAACATAGGATACCTTGCTTCTCGATATAATAGGGACACGGCGTGCGCTCCTTCTTCACAGGATCTTGCTCCCAGGTCCTAATCGCCGCTCGTGCTTGGGCCACTTTCGCAGGGTCGTCTGCCTCGATAGCTGCAGTGAATTCGGTGAAGATCGCCGTCTGCTCGGCGCCGTTACTCAGCGCCCGCACCATGCGTTCGCAAAGAAGATTAGCTACACAGAACTGTCAACGGCTCACCCAGTTCCCAAGACGGACATCATATTCACCTAGCCCACACGTCTTCCTCCAGTTCCATGAGTTACACATGTCGTCCATGGTGTCACTCATCCCTCCCGGCCCCATCTCGCGTAAACTGGAGGCGGCGGGGTTGGCACCAGACCAAACACGTTCACAGCCTTCGCCGTCAGTCTCTCCCGTACCGAAGAGTAATCCTAGGGCGTATCGTAGTTGGCAAAACACTTTGTGGGCGTATAAGTGGAACTTGGGAACAACGTAGGTGATCGTCCCACCGACGTGATGCTTCAAGAACTCCGTAGCCCCTGAAAATATCAGACAGTCTGGCGCGATCTTGTTCATACGACCGTAGAGCCGCTTGCTCCATTGACAGGCAATGTCGTAGCAAACCGTGATTTCTGCGCAGCGTAAAAACGACAGGGCGCCGCAGAAGACCCAGTCCATAGTGCTATAACTGGAGAGACGAGAGTTAGGTGAGGCTGGTTAAGGATGTCGGTGGAGCGTACCGTTCACCCTTCTTGAGTGTAGCCAGGCCCAGTGGTTGAACAAATTCATGGCGAGAACAGAAGCATCCGCCCACACCCGTGGTCCGCATACCCTTTCCTCCTTTGATATTCGCCATCACCAAAGCACCAAACCGGGAGCAGTCGCAAGGCTCGAAAGACAGTCAGATATCAACGCGCGGTCTCAAAAAGAGGTGACTCACTGGCTCTGGTTCAGGAGCACCCTCGGTCTTCAGGATGTAGGCATCGTACTGCAATCTGGGAGCCATGTAGGCGCACCCATCAGTGAGGTTCGGGTCGGTGCGGTCTTTGGAGTCAGTAAGTTTATTGTTCAGGCGAAAGTTGGCGTCCAGAGACAGAATTACTCTGTAAAGCCACCTGATGGGTCACTAGCTTTCAGCGAGCATAGCCAAATCACCCTATACACATACCGAAAGGGACTTAAAGCCCAGTCCAATGGTACATTCAGGTCGAAGTTGGGACATGCAGGACAGCGTATCGCGCATGCTCCCAGGGGTGTCGCCGCAATTCCACCCGGTTCATGCCCACGACCGGCGCGCTTAAACATGAGTACATGCCGAAATTGGCGGACGCATGTGGTAAGCTGTTTGCGCACGTCCTGTACAATCCAAGCGTTCAGTGTATGTCATCATATGATGTAATGAGCCTTCACCGCAATCTCGCAAAGCCGTGCGCCATCCGTCGCAGTTCTAAGAGATCTGTAGTAGTCATAGACGTTCAGGCGGCCAAGTAGCGAGATGCGAGTGAACTGATCCAAGGCCTCGTGTGTGGTCGCGGTCTGCGGATTGACGCAAGTCGCGGGCCAAAGTCTAGAGCGCAGGAGCTGAATGTGGTAGGGAATGTCGGCGCCCTTGTCGCAGCCGCAGAAGTCCACCGGTACTTGATGGATGCCATTAGTGTGTATAATCGTGAAGTCTTTGATCTGATGTACGGCGCGAAAGCTGCAACTCTCGCCGGGCGGATGCATGAGTTGAATGCGCACGCCCAAATCTGCCTCGCGTATCTTCTCGTAGAAGGACCCGTTATATCGCTGTAGTCTGTGAGTACGTAGTCGAATCGTAGATAATGGTATGCGCACCTCGATGTTATGTAGCGGGTTGTATCTATGCCAGTGCTTCATGCAGGCTGCACATAGATTGGCTCCTTGGCAGTCTTTGCATCGGTATTCGGGGAATCCCTCTTTATCGCATCCAGGACAGCGTGCCAGTCCCAGCGCATCCGCACGCCCATCTAACCTTATGACCTCGTTCAAGAAGATATCCCGCCACATAAGAGCCCATCTCAGGATCGGAAAGTTCTGCGTGTCTATGTTAGGCGTCGCTCATGACAAAAGCAATAGAAGTACTTACCGCAAAATCACTTCGAATCCGTTTTTCAGTCTCCCGTGGTACAGGATCTTCATCTTGTCGAGGCTCAGACCCAGCTGCGCAGCCGTCTTCGCCAGATTCAGGTTGTCCATGTTCACTCTTATACTCTGCATGGCCCAATCAGTCGTGGATCCTCACAACTTGCGTTTGTGACACACCTTTAGCCTTGCGTAGCGCATCGAGGGGATTGACTCCGCCAAAGGGACGCTGGAAAGCGAGGGCTAGTCGCTTCTCTCCCAGACCCTCAAGCACGCCCGAACTCAACGTGGATTTCCCCCCAGTGCCGTCATACTCGCGTGGAGCGCGTAATACCTGACCCAGTGTTCGACGGGCATCCGGCGTGCGTACATCTTTGGCGTGACAGAACGAGAGAGTAGTCTTTGCCAATTTGAATGGCGCAGATAGCGTCGTGAAACTCGACGCCCCCGCCCCGCTCAAACTTTGCCGTAGCCGTTTAGAAGGAGAAGAGCCTGCAGCAGGTCCCTCCCGCTTCATGCCGCACGATCAACGCAGTTAGCAGTTGTTGTTGGAAGTTCGAAGTGTACCGAGTACACGACACGTACGCCAGACCCGACATCTCACATCTATCCCCGGTCAATAGTGAAACGAGCATCAAGTACGGGGTGCGAAATCACGCCGGACATCATACGGGGTCAAATGAGTGTATGATCAACGAGTGTATCATCCGGAACAGAACAGCGCGCAGCCCCGGTATGTGCAGGTGCAAGGATGATCTAAGCTCCAGTTGGCATGACGCCCTGCTGAGAGAAGCTCTAGCGGTTTGACGTCGTGGCCATACGGAGAACCAGCTATCTGGCCGAAGTCACACCCAATCCATTCAGTTCCCACATAAACGCCATCCCAGCGCCAAAAAGGTACCATCCACTGAGAAGGACCGTTGTTGCAATGCAGCGGATAGAAACTTCCCAAACAAGAGCGGAAGAGCGGAAGAAGAATGGACAGTAGTGGGCGAAATTGAGCGTTCAGGGAGATCTAGATATGCCGTGCGATAAGAGTCCAACGGAGAAGATACACGGGAGTACCAAAGTTGACATTCAGACAGCGCGCCTGTAGCAGTAGCGTTTTGAATATTGTAGAGCACATAATTATGAGTAGGCGTAGACCCGAAAGTAAGCTATAGATGATGTAAGTAGTATATTTGCACAGATGGGTCACCAATGTGGTCTTCAAATATCAGCTGCAGCCAGTCAACGCATGGAGCGCGTCACTCACGCACCCGAAACACCTCCTACGAGGCCAACCGCCCTTCATTAGTCTCGTTCAAAGTTGGATAACGAGGGGCCGTTATCCGCTCGATAAGAGCCGTTAACGAGCCCACCTCGTTATCCGCGCTGCTGGTGCACCGCCGGTGATGCCCGATCAGCGCCGCCGCGCCGGTACCCCTCGCGCGCACGCGTGCGCGCGCGGGCTCGCGTTCGCGTTTGGTCTTGTATGTACACTCTATCCCTCGTAGAGTAGCGGCTCGTGTATTCGATAAGTCTCCTGGTATATATAGTTGTACATACATGTACTCTAATTTACAAAAGCCTTGGGGGAACTCTCCACAACGTCGTATTGCCGCCGGAGCCATCGGACTCGAGTGCAAGTTTTGTCCGACGTGCACGTCGCGCGCGACTCTTTCCACAACACCCACCACAGCCTAATATTTATCCATGGTCTCGTCTCCCCGACGCTCTTTGAAACCCGCGGCGACTGGCTCGCCGCACCACACCACCAAACCCAGCGAACGCGAGCGACTCGAGGCCGAGCTTGCGGCCAAGAAAGGAGGTTCCGCGAACGGCAAGAAGGGACGGTCCTCCCTGTCATCGGCCACCAAGGACCGCGACGTCGCCGGGCGCAAGGTCAATACTGGACCGAAGGCCTCGAAGAAGAAGGAGAGAGCGCAAACCCGGTACACCGTCGCGTGCGTCTCTTTGCACACATGTCCCGATGATGCATGCTAAGGACCCAACAGTTGGGCGAAGCACAGGATCATCACGGACAAGATCGTCCGCGAGCTGCATAACCGCCCGAATGCGCGTGTTGCCTTCGGCCTTGATAAGGGCGACAACGGGGAAAAGGTTACCTCGAGCGGCGGGAAGAATCAGAAGGACTTCGCGCGCGAGATCGCGCGGAAGGCGTTCGAGGATACCCAGTATGCTGAGTATCCCCCGCACAAGCTGGAGACCCTTGTCATCGGTCGCATCAAGTGGCAAGTCTCTCCCTTCACCCGATTAACTCGTCGAGTATCTCATTCTGTGACTTCTAGGCTGAAGACTCAGTATGCCTTTCATCGCAAGGAACTCAGTGAGACGGGCCACGGCCTCGTCGAAGCTGATCAGGAGCACAAGATTCGGTCGGGGTCGAAGATCGAAAATGCGTGGAGTACGCCATCGCGATGTTACTATACGTGTGCAATTAATTTACCTGCTTATTCAGATAAAATAAGCGCCACCTTTCCCTGGTTCAAGGACATGATTCGTATGATGGCACGGAGCCCCAGCTTGAAGACAAAAGCTGTCGGTAATAGCCAGTCGGTGGCCGACCTCTCCGTGCTCACCAAAAAGGTGCTTGCCTTTGCTTCGTCGCCCACCCCACGTAACTCACAGCTGCTGCTCTAGTCTAACACCCAGGAGATCGAGTCTTCTGAGTCGTCGTCATCATCAGACGAGGATTCCGAGGAGGAAGTCCCTCAGTCTACGATTGACGTGGACAAGAACAACAACGATAACCCGTTCGTAGTTGACGACAACAAGGCTGGACGTAGTCCCACGCCCCATTCCGCCCAGCATTCGCCGACACAACCTGCAACTCCGGCACAGGTTTCCTCTCCGGCTCCGGTCCGCTCATTCCCGAGTTCGCCTACGAACTGGGACCTGGGTAGCTCCCCTGCTGCTTCTGGTGCCATGCATGGTTACTCGCCCATGGTCCGCCATCCCTCCCTCGAGTACGACGATGACGGCAACATCAAACTTCCTGCGACGCCCAAAACCGCACGTACTCGCCACACATCAACATCTCCTCAGACACGCCGTCGGCCGAACTTATTCGGCGACAAGTCTCCATCACCTATGCGTCGCAAACAGCAGGCACCCCTTGCCCCGCCATCGGGAAAGCGCCAGCAATTTATTTCAGATGTCCAGGATACCATCCGTGCGAACAACGAACTGGAGATCAGGCGCTCACGTCATCGTAATGAGCGCAAGGCGGCGAAATCGGCGGCTAAGGAGCGCCGTAAGCTTGAGAAAGAGAAGCTCCGTCTCCAGAATGAGCTCGAACGTGCTCGTATGGCGTCTCAGCAACAAGCAGCTGATCGTCTTATGCACGCCGAGCAGGCTGAAGCTCAGCGCCAGCATGAGGTTCGCATGATGCAGGAACAAATACGTCTCGAAACTCTTCGCCATGCTGGTGGTTCGCAGACCCTAGCAAGCTCTTTCCCGTCGTCGTCGTCGTCCGTGTTTCGCCCATTCCCCTCGCACCATAATAGTTACGCAGGCCCTTCAGGAGACCCATTTGCCGTAGATCCAGCCCTCCAGTAAGACCATCTTCCCAGTATTCTTCTCTCTAACATAATCACTATATACCATCCACTTTACTTCGTACACCCTCCAATCATCGACACATACCTACTATTTCTGGTTGTTTCTCGTAACCTGCTCGAGTTCCTGCTCAACACGTACTTCATCCCTATATAGTAAAGCTGTTTAATCAACATCCATAGGTGCGATCCCGAGTTCTGCAAAGAGTTCCTCCTTCAACTTTTTGCGCTTGATCCGACCCTCCAACAATGCAACATCCTCGTCTGCTTCTGCCTCTCTATCAGCTCTCCAATCTTCTTCGGTGTCCCTCCACTCCTTTTCAAACTCTCGCATCCTACGTGAATAGCGCCTGCCTGAACGATAAAAGTGGTCATGGTTGAAATCTTGCCCGTGCTGCTGCTCATGCTCGAGAGCGAAGTTATGCAAGAGAATACAGCCCGTGATCCATAAGGATGCAAACTGCAGGCCCTTCTCATCATCAACAGCAACTCGCAATCCCTTGAGCGATGACCAGCGGCCCTTGACATAACCGATAGCGTGTTCGGAGCGTATACGGATGCTGGAGAGATGATAGTTGAACGCTGCGTTGTCCGGTAACAACTTGTCGGGCCTAATCATTGGTTAATTTAGGAAAATTAAGATAAACTCCATATCTACGCACTTGACATATGGCGATTGACACCACTTGGTCAAAGGGTATGCTGAATCAGCCCATATCCATTCACCATCTCGTAGCAACCCATCCCTTCGCTGATATATCCATGTATCCCTCCAACCCGTTGAATCATGCGTGCTCCCTGGGCGACCGACAGAGTAGTCGATTATGCGAAGATTGGGCAGAGAGATGATCTAATGCATGAATCAGATAGATGACACTATTCAACAAAGGCATCCTATTACCTGTACTGCAGTAGAATAGTTGGCCTTGCGATCGAAGAAGTTGTTTCCGAAGAATCCAGGACGGCGGTAGAGAGGGACAAGTGTACCATCAACCATTAGCCACCCATTACGCCAGGCACTACAAGTCTCCCTCTCTACCCACTCCATGGCCTCCGCACGTGCACGTGGACTTGCCCATTGCAACGCCGAAGACTTGAAAGCTTTGTCGTTGATAGCAGCCAGAACACGGTCGGTGTAATTCTGGACCGAACCGTAACCGATGCCGAACTGCAGAGCGACCTTCATAGTACTCGTAGCATTGCCGTAGTGCCCGAGGCGGTATAGTGC